GGCATGATAGGTTCACGTATCTTTTTTCCGTAAAGACCAAAGATAAATCTAGCAGCATTGTTCTGTATCTTTTGTAGCTTATGGAGATTCTTTTCTGTTATACCATAATAGACTGAGTTGCAGTAGTCTATGAAACAGAGGATATTGGAGTGAACTAACTGAACTTTTATTTACTGATTTTTCTAAAATTTTTATAGGAATGTGCTAGTGACTTTTTGAAGGGCGCAAAATAACCGCAACTAGCACATTTGTATTTTATAAATTTGCTGTTTGGCTTTGAAGTCCAATAGATCTGAAGATAAATGAGTAAAACCATTTTTGAGGGCATAAAAAACTGCGCCAGAATTCAAAGAACAATTTCATGTCCAGCATCAAATGAATCCGATCTTCCCTTACTGACTTTTTGATTAAAATAAGTCTGAAAAGGACAATTTCAGCTTTTTGACTTTTTTTGACTTTTAAAATTTATAACACACCAGCCTTTTTAGATACGATATCAAGATTTTACACACACCTTGAAATAGATGTGAATAAATAGCGAACAAAATTTCAACTTGATACCGCAAGAAATGATTAACTTATAGCCTCTCCACGAAACAAATTGTGTTTTTCCGAAAATTCCACTCTAACCAGGAAATGGTCGATTACAAAAATAGGTATTCTCAAAATAATTTTTTCTGGTGTGAAAACGGTGCGCTAGAAGGTCACTGAACTGCCTAATGCCTATGAGGTCATTTGGTCTGGACAGATTTGGTGTATGCCCCCTTAAGTAAACTAAACACACTTGTATATAAACCCGCTTATTATATTCTCATATTCGAAAACACGCATTACATTTTCGTAGTTTAAACGGTGTAGTGCGAAAGTATGAACTTGCTCTTTCCAAACACGCCGCAATTTAATTCTTAGCGCCCCTCACGTATCTTATAACAATACTTGAAAGGCAATCTTGAGGTCCCCTGCCAAATTACCTATTTATATAGCAAATCTGTTATGAGGGGAGAGAGAGCGAGAGAGGGAGAGTACTGAGACACTTTAGTATCACGTTTGGGTCACAAAATGATAAATTTCAGTAAAGAAACCTGATGAAGCTGCACCTGTACTGGCGGGTGCAGCTTCATCAGAATACACGTGTATTATAGCACAGTTAACACACAGTCAGTACACTGTAACGCGCTGGTAATGCACTAATTACCATAGCACTCGACCTCTCACATCATACCAGTGTAGATCTTACCGGTGTGTATAGTATCTGTAGAGCTAATATTAAAAGGGTGAAACTATATAATAAGCTTGATAGTACATGATAGTACATATAAAACTGTATACAACTACACGATAATACTATATAAAACGATCTACAACCATATATATGTTTATTGAGACTTCTGAGTTCTACCGACGTAGATTCTACAATGATAAATATTGTAACGTACGTGCGGCGCGCAAAATCCACTACAAAATCCACTACAAAATTCAGGGAAACGTCTTCTGTCTCTCTCTCTCTCTCTCTAGCTAATATCTTAACGTTTCCTCATAGCACGCTCCCTTATTCTGTACCGTATCTTCCTGTTCTGCTATTGTTGTGTGTTTCTGTAGTTTGTCTTATGTTCTGGTAGGGTGTCCTAATTTCTGTTGTGTGTCGTTGTATTTCAGTGTCGTTGTATTTCAGTGTCGTTGTATTTCAGTGTCGTTGAATTTCAGTGTCGTTGTATTTCAGTGTCGTTGTATTTCAGTGTCGTTGTATTTTAGTGTCGTTGTATTTTACTGTCGTTGTATTTTAGTGTCGTTGGGAGCACGGTTTATATTGGGGTGTGGTCTTTAAGTTCATTTGCTAAACTGAAAACGTTCGTCAGTACTCAGTATGCACTATGCAGCGTGTATTGTCCTGTTCCTCGCCATACATATTATGTATCGAATAATGAATATCCCATTTCACAGCCACATTTTATGTGTCCTCAATTCCGGAGTACTTGTCTTACTAGGGTGTCCCAATCGTCTCAACTGTTACTGTCTCTGTTAGGTAGGGATCATGGTGTTTTTAGCCCTGTAGTCTGATTAATTCAAATCATTATACATTATATTATACATAATAGGCACACTTTAATGGTATGATATTTGGTCTAGTGATCCTTGTTAGTAAACTAGTGGTATGGTTGTCGTGGAGACAGCATGTCTTGGTAGAAACTGCACATACCGATATTAGAAATTTTGTAGAGTTATTATTAAATGATTATTCTGCTCGATGTTAGCGTTCTATAATTTCCATGGCTACCAAACACCTGGTAATTAGTCCTCAACTGTTCTGAAATAAACAGTTATTCACTGAAATGAAAATTAACGCTCGAAATTTTACATTTTACAAAATCGTATAATTTCTTTTATTATGTTAGTTAAGAAAATAGCACGTTTTACGCCTCACATTCGGTCACACTAAACGAGAGAAGGGTCTTCATTTATTGCGAGCGCGCGCGCGGTGGCGGCCGTTTAGACATTGCATATATTATTGACTACTTCGCGCTCTAGGAGCTATTATCAAATAAATCGATCTAATAAATAGATAATGCATTACCGATCGATCGTTGAATCTATCATTAGATTAGATCCAGTGCATATCAATTATTGGTTTCATATTCTGAAAAATGGGGAGGCAACCAATGAGCTCCTTTTAACGTTCATCCAACTTTTGACCGTTTTGATCAGGATCGATAAGTTTTGTTAGCACCACTATGTGCCGCCCCTAATCCCCCAAAATACATCGCACAAGTCTTACAGTCTGAACATTTCAGTGTTAAATTACAGCATTACAACTGAGACATTTATAATCGCTTAGACTCGATGGCGAATAACTGCATAATGTCTAATGAAAAGCTCAAATGGTCAGAACCATCTTATTCGCTGCACAGGACGCCTCATATGTCCCTGATGGTGTTACAATCCATCCCCTGATCCTAGCTCATCACTCATGCTACAGAATTCTGTTGAACCCTTGATTTCGTATCACACAACGATTATACACGTATTGGTATCACGTTGAGTTGCGTCATGTTATCGCCAAGCAATTTAAATCGTAAGTGGCTTCTCAGATGAGGAGTATGATATTATGACGTAATCTAGCTACTTGCCATAGCATGCAGTGAAATCTAGCGCTCACAGCAACTTGAAAACGAGTACAATGAACAATCCTTGACACTGACTAAACCGTTGCACCTTGTCATAGACATATTTATTTATTTAAAACCTTAACTGGATTCTAGTGATAACCCGACTATTCTGCAATTTGGAAATCTGAAAGTCAGCGACTCTTGTCCAAATGCGACTGCATCTTCTTGCAGATTATGTATGTAAATCATTGCTACCGAGAGCATCAGGTTTTTAGAAGCTTTGCAGCGTGAGGACAATTGGCTTTAATTACCTGATTGGTATCAGGGAGGTTTAATAAATTAATAATGTAATTATATTATTAATGAATTTCCTTAATATAGCATTGTGATGCTAACATGATTGAAAGTTGATACATAAAACATTTACCCAAAACATTTGGAGCCCTGCAGTGTGAAGGCACTAAACAGTGATTAGTAATCACCAGGGAGATAATTACAATTGGTACTGACCACCAGGGAGCTAATTAGCGATTCGTTAGTCATTGTAATTATAGAACGTTGCGAGCAGTATGGTAATACAACATAATGACGTATGTACAATTTGATACATAAAACATTTAACCTGAAAGCACCCCAACTTTGGACAATACCCCTGTTAAAACCCACCAAGAGAGGTCTAGAGTAACCATGGTAACCAAGAGGGGTGCTTCAGAGGTTCCCGTGCATTATGACTGGGCTGTTGCTTACCTGATTATGTAAAACAGTGACACTCCCTCATCATCATAACCAAGTACAGCCGGTTAGACTAGAGTAACCATGGTAACAATACTACTAGAGTTGCTAGAGTAACTACTACTCACATCTAGTTTACTAGAGCAGCATATGATGTTGCTAAAACACGTACCTGATGGTTATACAATTAGAGCTCGCCTCTCGGCCATGCCTACCTCAGCCCCAGTTAATAGTTGTGTCTAGATCCGTTTAAGCAGCACCAACTACCCCTTTAAAAGTGTCCTAGCAGGATTCACGTACTCTAGTTAGACGTTTACTCTAGTTCGACACTTACTCTAGTTCGACACTTACTCCAGTTCAACACGTGCTCCAGTTCGACACGTACTATAGTTCGACACGTACTCTAGTTCGACACGTACTCTAGCTCTAGTTCGACAAACCTTTAAGATCGACTAACTAAAGTACGTGTCGAACTAAAGTACGTGTACCAGATTAGCACGATATAATCCCCCTCCATCCATCCTCCTCTGTAAGAACATGATATATAATTGGGCTTCTTCTTTTTAGGGATCGTTCACATATTATAACGTAAGCTAGCTTAGGAGAGAAGGGTGTTTGGAAAAGTTTACACTATTTTGATTTAAATAGCTGGGGGAGCCGAGTCGAGATAAGAGTGGGGGTCTAAAAAGCCAAAATCTAGCAAACGTAATGCTAAGATCACTAATTTAAGAGGTTGTTATCTGTTTACATAGTGTAGGTAGGTAGTGACTAGTTAGATTGTCATTGTGCTTTGTGTTGGACGGGTAAACTGGGCGTTGTTTTTAGGAAGTTTACTTGTGCTGACCCCCCCTCTCTTGTTCTAGTTAGTAAGACGAATGTCTAGCTAGTTTGTCTACTGTCTAAAGATACTAGATACGATATAATCCCCCCCCCCCCCCCCCCCCCGTGCGAATACAGCTGGGATCTTGATAAAAGCTATGATAACAGGGAGGGGGTTGCTGGGAGGTTGTAGTCATTGTTCTTTGTCTTGTTCAGCAGATAAACTGTGTGTTATTGTGTGGCGCCTCACTTCTTGTCCCTCTCTCTCTTGATCTGGTTTGTGTCTAGTTAGTGAACATTACCTTATATGGTAGTGTAACTATGGTAAAACTACCATATAAGGTAATGTTCTCTGGTAAGTGTGTGTCTAGTGTCTACGAAGTATAGACCGCATTATCAGACATGGCTCCATCTATAATATTGGTCTAGTTATATTTCGTATCTAGACAGTATTACGAAATCAGTAGATACTGATCATGTTATTACAAATGTCTACTTCTGTAGAATTAGTCTCGGGAAACTAATACGTTTATTTTTTTAAAGCAGTCTGACGTTATAAAATTATAACGATAAATTAGAAGTTGTAACTTGCGATATTCATTAATATTTAATACCCAATGTTTTTACTCTAAATAACCCCTCCTCTAGCAATGGCAGCCCCCGATCAGACCACCTCAGCCTTGTTCGTTGCGTTTGATCGAAACAAAGACGGCCGGCTCTCCTACGAGGACCTTCGTCAGGGATTCAATAAGTCCGGATACAGGATCAGTGGGGAGGAGCTGAAAGCACTGGTTGATAGGTTTGATACTGATGGAGATGGGGCCCTGGACTTCCCCGAGATGTTGACGGTGATGGCATGTTTACACAAGTCAAACAAGGCAAGGGATGATCTTTACAAGATATTTAACGCTATGGACGCCAATGGTAAGTGGAGGAGGATGGTAAAGAGATCAATCTCAATATAATAATGCTAGCTTTATTTGCCTCGAGATGGATCAAATCCAGCAATGTTTATCAAACATTGTATGTTCTTTTAAATAATTATAACAGTGAATAATTTTCAGGAAACAGGCAGATCAGTAAAAAGGAATTGCAGACATCGTTGGCGTTGTATTGCGATCAGAAAGTTTCAGACGAAGAAATGGACGAAATAATGTCCCAGGTCGACTTTGATAATGACGGGTATATGTGCTTCAAAGAGTTCTCAAAATGTATTCATCTCTTCAAAAAATAAAGAAAACAAGAATTAATGAATCATCTTTTGAGTCAGACCCTATCAGAAATATAAAAAGTAATACATTGTGTGTGAACGATATCGCTGTTTTACCTTGCTAACCACTACAACCAATAACAACCTACAACTTAAACCAGATGCACCAAAATAGGGTGTTCAATGTCTAACTCCACAGTTTACATGATATGGATGGAAATTAAAATATGTATGATATCAGAACTGTGTGTAATAATAATATTCATCATCCAGAAGTTAGACATTGTTCTTCTAATTCATTACAAAATCATTTGTCGGCTATTAGTTAAACTAGCCGAGATTGTTGTAACTAAATTTCCAGGCTGATGTGTATTAATATTATATATATTATATATATTATGTATATTAATTAATAACTAGACTCGACTGTTCTTATTGTGTTGTAGAGATGACTCCTCTCGGCAACTCCTTCATCCCTTATACACACTATACACTGTACAATGTACATTATTCATTGTATATTGTACATTGTACAATGTATATTGTACAATGCACACAGTCCACATTCAGATTATTGTTTCATGTAAATAACTCTGTATTCTGTAACTAAGATTGTATATATTCATGTTAATTTTCTCGCTTTTCGTTTTTCAAACAAAGGTTTGTATGCAGCAATTAATGGTTATTATCAGAAATATAAGTCAGTATACTTTCAGAGTTTATCTTTAATGTTTAACTTTATCTTACTTTTTGTTAATGTATGTTTCTTTAGAGATGATGATTATCTGTAATGTTGCACATTACAACACATACTACAACATTACAGATCATCATTATGTAATGTTGTAGTATGTGTTGTATTCTGTTAATAACTCGCAGCTCTTACGTCATCACTTTCTCATTTTACTGCGCTAGTTTTTAACATGTAACATATTAAAGTATGGATGAGATCAAGCACACTGATTATTGACATTACATACTGGAACATTGTGCACAACAATTTGCACAATTTACGCTATTTACAACGTCCGTTTAGTTTATCAGTCAAATAAGGCTAGGATAAAGGCTATCCTACCGTTTTCTTCAATTAAACAAACCATTTTACTCTAGGGCATCAGTGTAAAGATCGTTTGTGCCGTTAACTAATGTGATCACTAGTTAACTGTTTTAGTTAATACTCCAAAGTGGCTAAGGTAAAAGATCTTTATTTTCTTGTAATACACCCGCCCACTAATGTACATTGTACAAGGTGTACATCCTAAAATGGTTGTCAGAAATTCCGTCCATATCAGAAGTTAACATTTATTATCTTTAAGTATATTATTTATAAATATTGTGTACCCTAAAGTATGCCTGATATGTGCGTTTCATGTTTAATTTTATTCAGTTATTTTACTTTTTAACCTGCGAGTGTATATTCTGTGAAGTGTTTTTATCTGATTGAATAGTTTTCCTGGTAAATGGTTAGCGTATAAGCTCATAATATATGAATGTACTTATATTTTAAGTATGATAATAACTGATTATATTCTTTGCTAATATTATCCATGTACATTAATTATTCGTTTGAAATTTGTGAGTTTTACTTTTGTCACGAAGAAGTTAGAAATAAGACGGAATAAATCTAACTCTAAATTCAAAAAGTCCACAAAACACTCAAATTTAGTAAACATTGAAAGGAAAACAATTTTTCACCAGGTTATCCACGTACTCTAACCTCACCTACACAGGTTGATGACACAGAAGATAAAATTCCAAGTAGTCTACGCTACAGGTAGTGACGATGATTACAGCAGCTCGGCCCTGGAGGACCACGGTCCCTCTGTTAAGGGTTGGAGATCTGAGCGGTTCTGTGTGTTCCCCCAGGAGCTCGTCCTTCAGCTCCCTAGTAGCATCAGAGTGAGGAAGTTGCAGCTGCTCTCCCACCAGTTCCTGATAGCTAGGAAGGTGGAGCTATATGTGGGGGAGTGTAGGAGGGGAGGGTCTGCGGGGTATCAGAGTGCTTCTTTTGATAGGTTGGGGTATATTTCCTTTGAGAGCAACGAGAAGACACAGTTTAAAGCAAGGGAGTTAAAGTCGGTACATCTGGACTGTACCGGCACCTTTGTCAAGCTAGTGTGTCAGAAGAACCATGTTAATAAACACAACATTTTTAACCAGGTAGGGATCGTGGCGGTGAACATTATCGGGGAGTATCTCTCCAACTCTCCGGATAAACCAGAGTCTTACCGGGATATAAACATAGCTAATGAGAACACTGATCCAGTGGTCATGGGGAATATAAACAAGCCTTCAAACATGTCTCTGATAGACGACATCACCTTTGGGGTGTACCAGGATCCGGAGGTTGCCAGGGTGATCCAGCAGTTAGAGAGGAAGAAACACCTAGCTATAGAGGAGGAGAAGTATGACTTTGCTAAGCGCTTGAAACAGGCTATCGGTGATTTGTATAAAGTGGGGGAGAAGCTGGGGAGGCTGGAGAAGGAGAAGAAGGCGGCTGTAACCGAAGAGAACTATGATCTTGCTCAAGCGAAGAAGATTCAAGCGGATGAGATCAGAGTGGTTGTGTTTCAGCAGCTGAATATCCAGAGTCTGCTTCAGTCAGACCGACTGTTAACAGACGACACCCCCCACGTCTTAGTCAGGTCTCCACCCCACCAACTCCCAGCTTTACCAGACCCCTCCCCCGCTCCACCTCCCACCTACAATCAGCCTCCTTACCAGCAGCCCCCCAGTGCAGTTCCCTCTCTCCACTCTGACGGTGGTTACATTGCCGCCCCAGATCAAGTGCCAGAACAGCCGGTGAGATCCCGGGGCGGGGACCGTCCCATCCCTACTCTAGCTAACAAGACGGCACAGGAGCTGGAGGAGGAGGAGGTGGAGACTCCAAGGGACCCTGACGGTCCTGACGAGCACAGTATGAAGGTAGCTCATGATCTGAACCAAGCAGTGGACCTGTTCGGACAGGTTACTGTTGCGTGTCTGTTCTGCAAACAGTTTGCACTCCGAGAGAAGGGCATCAACCAGATATCAGAGACCCTGTCCACTCTTGAAACCTCCTCTCCAACATACTCTGTCAGAGCTCTCATCCAGGTCTTTCAACAAGCCTTCACTGATCCTGTCTACAACACCTTGACAGTCAATCTGGATGTTTTCAAGTCATTGCTTAAAAGGGATGTTCTTTCAAAGGGCCATACAACGGAGCTATGTAATCAGACCCTTCCTATCTTATTAAGGCGGGTCGGGGAAAACGTTCGAAACCGAGAATTGATCATGTCCTCATTTTTAGAAATCAGCAAAACTAAGCACCTAATGGCAGCTCCAACAGTGCCGAACATAACGGTGTCTGTCTGTAAAGAGAAGAATCCTAAAGTGTTGACTGCAAGGTTGCTCCTACTGGAAAACCAGATTGAAAACTCAGGCTTGGAACAAAGTTCCTACACGGTTGAACTGGTGATGAAGTTTGTAGCCCCAGCTCTGACTCACACTGCACGGGACGTGAGGGATGCGGCTATAAAGATCACCCTGCTCATGTACAAACAGTATGGGGACCCTGTTAGGAAGCACCTACCTAAGGACGAACCAATCTTGAGGAAGAAACAGCTGATCTGGAAGAAGATATTCGAATCATTTGATGAGATAGACGGGAAACCTGTCCACAAGCCAAACGAGCCGACAGCTGAAGACAAGAAAGCTGCTCAAGTAGCCGCCCTGAAAGCCGAGCTAGCCTCACTTCGGGAGATGGCTGCTGGAGCTAACATAGACGTGCCGGAAGAGTTGAAGGAAGGTAACGAACACATGAAAATGAAACCTGGTGGGATCAAGAAGAAGAAGAAGAAGGCTCCTCCGGGGAAACCCGCTCCAATAGCAGAAGAGAAGCCCGGAGAGCCGGAAATAGAGGATACACTAGACAAGACCTGCATGTTCTGTAACGAGCACAATGAGAAGTTCAACGCTGAGACTCTAGACGTTCACTTCTGGAGATCCTGCCCGATGTTGAGCAGGTGCTCGCACTGCTCACAAGTAGTGGAGATAGCCGGCACCACCACTCACCTCCTGACGGAGTGCACTGCCCAGGAGAAGTTCCAGCCTTGTAAAGACTGCCAGCTAGCGGTGGAGACCGGGACAGATCACACGTGTTCAGTGCAGCCGGGGGAGGGGGAGACGCTGTGTCCGCTGTGTATGGTGTCAGTGAAGGATGGAGAGGAGGGGTGGCGGCAGCACCTCATGAGTGCTGATGGGTGTAGGAGTAACTCGAGGAGGGAGCAGAAGAAGTAGATTTGTTGGCACACAGCCAGTTGGCACACAGATTTTATTCATTTTATGTGTCATGTGGGGTGAAGTAATTTGTAAAGTGTACATATCGCATGTTGTTAGGAGGTCGAGAGAGTTTGGAGTTCAGAAAGACAGATTCAGGCAGTTTTGGGAGTAGTTATTGCCTCTTCTGGCATGGACAGATTTTATCTTATTTATAACAATTATAAGGAATTTAATATTACTATTCAGAAATTGTTAGGAAGAATGTTTAGTTTCAGAGTTCAGATGTAGTAGTGTTAAAGAGTTGGCTGAGGGCCAAGTTCAGATGTAGTGTTAGAGAGTTGGCCGAGGGCCAAGTTCAGATGTAGTGTTAGAGAGTTGGCTGAGGGCCAAGTTCAGATATTGTAGTGTTAGAGAGTTACTAGATACACTGGCTAAGGGCCTGTGTTTGTGAAGGTGATTTATATGATGTACAGATTAATTTGAATTTTTATGCATGAAAGTTTCTTCGTGAAATACAGCACTATTATTACATATATTATATACGACATGGTTCAATAAAATATATTCAAAACTCTAATGAGTATTTATTCTGGGGATTTAAATGTTTTCTTCAAAATGTATTCCGTTTTACCGAATATTTATGTTTGTTATATTATATATATGGCCATGGTCCACATTTTAGAGGGCGCAACGAATATTTTCGTGACAATTTTCATTCGACCAGAAGCTTTTCTAAACGACCAGAAGCTCACTTGAATTTACACGGAAAGAACTGAGCTCATGTTTATTAGGAAATGAGAATGAAATATCGCCATGTATACAGTCACGGATATTCTTTGTTTCCTCACATATTTAAAGCAAAACTGATTTGATAGGGTTTATATAAACGTAACGCAGTGCTGTAAAGTACCATAGCTATTGATT